TTTCCCTCTCCCTCCCTCCTCCCGCTTCCTTCCCTTCTTTATAAATGAAGGTATAGATAATAAGAAGACCGAAAATGGAAAACTCCATTAAATATGATTTACTCATACAATTAAAATAAATAAATGAATGGCAATGTGGCCACGGTTCAGTGGCTTCCAAACATAACTTACCATCCTCCTCAAAAATTCTGAGAGAGCCCAAAGTATATTTTTTAAAGCACCCCAGATGATAATGATGATCACTCAGGTTTTGATCAAGTAGACTGCTCTAATAAGAAAAATATCCCATCTATGGCATGATACTCTGAACAAGCCCGATCCCATCTGATCTCAGAAGCTAAGCAGGGTCGGGTCTGGTTAGTACTTGGATGGGAGACCACCTAGGAAGACCAGGTGCTGTAGGCATAAAAATAAAAAAATAAGGGATTGTAAGCTGACAAGGTCCTTGCAATCTGTGAGGCCAACCAAGAGTTGCCTCATCTATAAATAAACAAACAAACAAACAAACAAACAAACATAAAAAATTTAAGAAACTATTAAAAAAAAACATAAATAAGAAAAGAAAAAGAAAAATATTCCCTGGTTTGGACTTTAAAAAATCTGGGTTCTTTCTTGGCTATGCTATTAAATATTTCCTTCAGATTTCCTCATCTGTCAAGTGAGGTGTTAATTTCACACACATAAGATATTTGCTTACTGTTAAAGGAAACACCTACTACACAGGGTACAGTGGAGTAGACTGAGGTTTGCTTAATAGGGTTCCTTTTTCTATGGTAGGTTTGTACTTGGACTACCTGAAACAACGTAGTCTCGAATAGCTTAAAATCTATGGTTGAGGTGGAAATAAAAGGCACCCAGTTCAATTCAACCTTGATATCAAATAACGATCACGCATATAAACAGAATTTTGCAACCAGATAAGAGCGGTAGTTGATGCATGGAAAACTCATATAATGAATCTGAACTTCCTTCAGAAGCCACTTCTTAATTTTAGCATCTTTTGCTTTTCCAGAGGCTGAGAATTTTCAAACCAGCAGGTCCTGTTTTCTTTTTAACAATCCTTCCCTTGATTACTCTCTCTAGTCTTGCATTTACTAGAAGCAAGAAGAAACCACAGAACACCTTCAACACTTTGCGTGGAAACCTCCTTAGCTAGGTCACACAGGTCACCAGGTACATTTCTTAGTGTAGCCATGCTTTCTGCCACTGCATGACAAGGATCCACCTTCCTCCAATTTCCAATAATGATGAGTGCTTCTTTTCCTTTTAAAAAATGATTCCCAGTAGGATGGACATTTTAACTGTATATACTCAATCTGAAATTCCTGTATTTGAGGAAATGGCATATAGAAGTCAATCTAAATCCTGGAATATCGAACAAAGTGCATTTATATTTAAGAGAGGACTGAATCATGTATTATAAAACCACAAACAATAGAAGATTTGTATAACATTAGATTAGTTTTTAATGTGAATCAAATCATATTTCTCATAATTTAAGTAAAAGCTTGACATGGTTAAACTAAGACAAGGACTTAAATCGTAGCTTTCAAAGTAATCAAGACAGACAGGTGTCAGGAGGAAGAGCTTTTGATGGATTATTACAGACAGAAATTACTACAAGATTAAAGGAGAAACTTTTAAATATTTACACCAAAAGATATAACTTGTGGTTTTCATGCCACCAGACGAGAAACCATGCGGTTATTAGACAACTGCTTTTGTCATCTTACCAAAATGACATAATAGATATGAGTAGTTTCTTATTAAATGTCAGAATTTTGTAACCTAAGTTTAAATTGTTACATATTCAGATTAAAATAACTAGGGCTTACAGCAAACTTACATTTATAATAAATTTACCTTATATAAATGAAAACATGTATAAACAGTAAGAGAGTATTATGTATGGAATTTAAAGAAAGATCCTACTAGAGTATCTCACAAAATAAAATAATCTTACAGATCTCTCCATCTCTTTAAAATGCCCATAGTTTTCTGTAACTCATGTTGTCTTTGGAAATGAGTTCAGAGTTATTTGGTGCATTATATTTGTATACTAACCAGAGAAAACTTTAGCTATTTTAAGATCTGCTTCCTAGAACTCTTCAGAACACCTGAGGATTTAACAAAACTAGACACAGGAGAAAAAAATCAGTTTTTCATAACATTCCATTACAATGCAGGAAAAAAAAGAGTTTCTGGTTACAGCCAACTGTTTCCTGGTGATAAATGAGATGACACAGAATATAAAAAAAGAGCAAAGGAGGGGACAGAAAATATCCACAAAGAGCAGCAAGTACTGAAGCAGTACACTCAACGGGGCAATGAGGATGTCACAAAAGATCAAAACACAGAGCAGCAAGAACAGCTTTGTAATAATTCCTGGAGAGGGGAGAGTGAAGGAGGACACAAACAACTACAGACAATTTCAGATTTCCTCTGCATGGATGGTGAAAGAAGTAAGGGCTACGACCTGTGCTACACCTTGTAACTGCCAAAAGCACCTGTGCCTCTACTGAAAGAGTGACAGCCACAGGAGTGCTTCACTGATTTTAACACAATAGCATAAAAAGACTGTCTGGAATATGTGTCATCTACGGCAGAACAGAGCTCATACTCTGTAGACACCATTGGACAATCTGCCTCTATGGGAAGGGCAAACTGAGGAGCAAAAAGAAGCATAAAGGGGCCAGGAATTAAGTTGTTTTTGTGGATTTCAAGTCACTTGACATAACCCCAAAACAAATGCTCCAAGTTAAAGCATCCAGACCCTTTCCTGAATGAATGACTCTTAAAAGAGATCTAACACTCTCTTCATGTTAAAGATGCAAGGCCATGGATATTTTCACAAAAGTTTCTTCTTACACTGCAAAGTGCGAAATGTCACGAGAAATCCAGACAGATAAAGTGAAAAATATCATATCAAGACTTTTGCATTTTTTTTTCAGAATATATTTATGGTCATGATCTCTACCTCTTGAATAGTTTCCTAGTATAGACAAAATGTCTATTTTTCTTGATGCTTTCCAACTTTTTCTCTTAGCAAGTAGCAGTGTCCTACAGATTTAAGAGAATTCTTACATATGATGTTTCAAGTGTTCATAAAAGTTTTTTCATTGAAACTTTCCTATATTTCAGGGTTTTGAAATTCAGGAATCACATATCCATTGCTTTATGAGAGTAATGGAAAAACAGTCTATTTTCTACTACATTATTTTCTTTTTTAAATATTTTAAATTTCATTTTATTGGCATATGATTTACAGCATGGTATAAGTTTAAGGTGTATATCTTAATCACTTGACTTATATACACTGCAAAATAACCAAAATAAGTTTAGTTACCATCCATCATCTCATATAGATATAAGAAAAAAAAGAGAAAACAAATGTCTTTTTCCTTGTAATGAGAACTTTTGGGATCTACCTTCTTAGCATCCTGTGAATATACCATCTAGTAGTATTATAGTCATTACGTTGTACATTACATCCCCATACTATGTTCTTACACCTGCAGAAAAAGATAGTTTCAAAACTAAGAGTTTGAGTGAGGACACCTAAAACGCTTCCAGTCTATTTTACCTTCTATATAATAGTTCCTCAGCTGGGTCAAGACCCCTAGTGTCCCCACAGTCTTCTCTCATCCTTGTCTGTCTTTGGGACCTATTCTGGTTTATCACTCGCTCTCTTAAAATGTGGAGCCCAGAAGCGATGCAACAGATGTGAATGAAATACTTTCTTTCTTCTCTTATTTTAAGAGATAGGCATATGGAATAGTGGCTTATACTGAACTTATAATTGACAAAATCCCCCAGATCTTTTACTCAAACCACCACCAAGTTAGGGCTTATCCAATAAATACTTGCTCGACCAATTTACTGACGTAAAATGCAGGATTTTATTCTTGCTCCTGTTTAACCAATTTCATCTAGTTGGGTTTGTTTGGCATGCCAATAAATTCTAATTGGACCAGTAGTCATTTCTCAAGACTAACATCCTTTTGGGCTGAGTCATTCTAAGTTGAGAAATACTTTAGGAACTGAAAAAATAAAAAAGGCCTTTTCAGGAAAAAGGTGAAAGAACATATTAGGTGCTAAGTCTATTTAAATTCCTCATATAGATGAGTTTTTTTTAAGCCAACACAAATTTCTCATCTATAACTAAAATAATTTAATATTATAAAATATATTTGTTAAAATAATGGTGCTCATAATTGAATGATAATCACTAGCATATATTATACATTTACTACAGGACAAGGAATGTGCTCAACTTTTTTACGCATTATCTCAGTTAAGCACCACAACCATCCTATGAGGGACGTAATATTATTATACATATTTTTACTGGTGAGAACAAAGGCTTAGAAAAGTTATCTAAAGACTTGACAATATGTAAAGTTTTGTTGGTTTTAATTAAGAAAAGCTGCTTAAGTGTCATTTTTGGGATAGTTTAATAAAATATGGGGAAAGCAACCTCCATATGTAAATAGGAATTGGAGATAATTGTTTTCTGATGACTTCATAAGCACCTGCTTCAAGTAATTTCGCCTGATTTATTATACTGTCACAATTAAATGATGGCCACTGCAAAATATGAACAATGTATTCAAATAAATCATTTCTTTAAAATGGATAAGACTAAAATGAATACTTCATATTAACGTTACTATGTATTATGATAATCCAAAATAAAGACATTCCCTTAATAAGAAAATGACAAGTAAACTGATTCCTTCTTGTCAGGAATTCATTTAATTCTGGTTCAACTCTTATTCTGATTGTCTGTCTAATTAAAATGGAACCAATAATTATTCATCTAGTTCATACAACAACTGCACTATTGCTGTGTGCTGCCAAATTTATAAGATAGCTCTTTAAATGGGCTACTTTAGGTATTCTTTTATACAGAAATGAAATACGGAACTTTCAAAGTCCATATGAATCACGCATCAGAATAAAATGAAAAAGAAAATTAATAATACCTGTGCCATAAATACAATTAAAATAATCTTAAATATTTGGAATCTCTATAATAAATAAAAATAGAATCTTAAGGAAATAATGAAAAATTTAAACACACCCACAGCATTATCCTAAAGTCGGAGCATGAGTAGAAGCACCCATTGAAAAAGTAGAGAAGGTGAAGTAAGAGCCCCACGTCTGTGCTCGAGGGCAGTCTGCTCTTCAGATATTACAGCGTGGGAAAAGCAAACTGGGAGAAGGCAGCCACTAGCAGGCACTGATTCACTGAAAGATTTATATTACTTTTATACGTAAAAGTGTTTGAAAAGTGAAACACTACTTATTAGATGGCGCACATGGACTTATTTCCATATCAATTCACTTAAATATTAATGAAAGCCTCCAACTGTAATATAATACATTCCCAACCACTTGGATTTTTCAGAGGCTGGCTATATTCTCTTGCCTGTTTCCCTGTTCCTACTAGGTCCCCTCATCTAAGATGAACTTCCAAATACACAGTCAAACCCAGCACTAGTAAGAGTTAACACACTGACTGTGTATTAAGTACCAAGCAGGAGAGACAGGGAAGCTAACCAAGAGCCAGAAGCAGGCTGTCCCTGTGGGTTTTCCTCCTACTCTCTGGAGAGTTTGCGTTTTAAAATAACTTTAAAAGCATAACTTTAAAAGCATTGGGAACACAACAAAAGCTAGAGAAATGTACTGAAAAAACTAGATAACTGTACTGAAAATACACTGAAAAAAAGGGGAGGGTGTGTTGCCGACATTTGTGTTTAGAAAAATGCTGGCATACTGAGGTCATAGCAGATCTTTCCATGGGGAACATGCAGGCAATTCTACTCCCAGGACCTGCTTCAAGGATGAGCAGCAAATTGTGCAGTCACAAGAGGTGCCATGCTTAGGAGGGCCCTGTACGGGAAGAGCCTGGCACTGGTTTAATATTCTGCCTGAATGAAGAACCTGAGTCATCCTCTTCCTCTCTTCCACATCAAGTCACCTCATCAACTCCTCCCACACTTAAACAGCGACCTGATTAACCTCTCTAGTTGATTCTACCCCGTAATTATTTTATAAGATGAATGGTTTTTCTAAATAGCAATTCTGACCCTACATAAAATCATTTCTCCTCTTAAAATAATCCAATGGCTGCCCACTGACTTGAGCAAGGTACAGTGAGCATATTATTTTGTTGACACAGCACCTGTACTTTCAGGTACATTATTTCTCTTCTAGGAACTCTCCTACCACCATCCCCTGCGACAATGTCCTTCCCATGTGAGCTGGCACTTGACCCAAGCCGGACAAATCAGAGCTTTCCTCTGGGATTAAGATAGAAGAAGCTGCAAGATGTCAAAATCAAAGCTGTCAACATCCATAATTCCTGCCAACTAAAGAAAGCTGTCAGTGCTCAGAGTTAGTATTAAAAAATAGAGAGTCTTGGCAGTTTGACTTCCTAGTTGAGCTTCCTGAGGCCCAGCTGGCATCTCTACCTTTCTGTTTAACTCTTGCTTAGACTCTGAGTCTTGCTTAGACTGATCAATTCCTCTTTTTGCCTAAGTCAGCCAAAGCTGTGTTTCTATCCTTTGCTGTTACACTTGACTGTAACGAAGCACTTCATTAATTGGTTCCTACCTCTCCGCCCTTCCTATCTGCCCCTGCATCCTCACACACACATTCTACAGTAAAATGCTTAATATTCCACTCATTCAACATGCTGTTTCACACTTCTTCCTATGCACACACAAGTCTCTCTGCACCTCCAGTTCCAACTCTGGGGTCATCTTCTCATCTTTCTGACTCCCCTGGTCAGAGCCAGGCACCCCTATCTTGCTTTCCAGTAAACAGCCTGTGCATTAAATTCAAGCTCTTATCACAATGTACTACAACTGCCCTTGTGGATGACTAACTTGTCCTAGGGAATGGCAGTTTGCAGAGTAGTTAAGAACCTGGGACTCTGGAGCCCAACTCCCAGGCTGCCCACCGAGTACCCAGAGACTTCTCTACAAATTGAGCAGACCTCCATATGCCTCACTTTTTCATCCATAAATGGAGATACCAATAGCACCTAGTTTATAGGGTTGTAGTGAAAATGAGATGTGATCAGAACTTACAATGGTGCCCAGCACTTAATAACTGTTAGCTATATAATTATGATCCTTGAAAGCAGAAACCGAGTAACTCCAATTTTTCTATATCCAACACCTGGTACAATGTCTGTCCCAGGAAATGAGTGTTTGCTTGACTTTTAAAGAACAAGCCAGTGAGCTGGATACGAATGGAACACACCTAACAGAAGCTCACGGAGGAAGACATAATACAAGGCTTCAGACTGTTTGTCAAGGGTGATGGAAGTTGGGCCTCCCTGATCCCTTCCAGGCGATTGCTAGCTGTGGATACTGAGGAGACACTCAAGATTGAAGGGGTTTCTGATAATTTAGGTTTATCCCTCTCGCAGAAGAGATTTACTGATTTTATTAGAGCTCCGAATCACCATTACACCGAACTTTAGAAAAGCGTAATCTCAGCATCTGTTTTCTGAGAAATTTCAATCAGCAGTCAGAAATAAAATGCTTCCAGGAACCAAGCTATGCAAAGAGACCTACCACCTGACAAACTGGCTCGTAAGTGCACGAGCACCGCTTCCAGACATACGCAAAACGGCCAATTACTGCCACTTAATTCTCAGATGACGAAAGAACAACTTCTCGTCCATCCTAAGGATTTGACCCCCGTCCCCAAGAATTTAGCATTTAAATCTTGAGCTGTGGCCACAGTGTACAAATGCTGAAGAAACTCGCTTATTTAAAAATTAAACATTAAAAGAACTGGAGAACCGAGAGGCTTGTTTTGTTGTTTTGGCAGCAACAAAAGAGGAGAAGGAAAGGGAACCTGAAGGGCGCAAACCGCGGAGACCCCGAGTCGCCTTCCCAGGAGCCAACCGCACAGGACTTGCCGCTCCCGAGCGTCCGAGAAACCCGACACCCAGGGCGAATGCGGGTGCGGCCCCGCCGGGCGGGGCTTCCTGGCTGGGGCGGTTTCCTCCCCGGCCCCCCCTGCTCCCCGTCCCCACCCGGCCGCGACCCTGCCGCAAGCGACAGTACCCGAGGACAGCTCCGGATCCGTGGCGCTCATCTCAGCCCTGCTCGTGGCCTGCGTGATGACAACGAGAAGGAGGAAGAGAGCCATTCTGCTCTGCATATTTTCGGGGTGCGACCCTGAGCAGCAGAGAGCGTCCCGACCAGCGCGGCCCTCAGGCCTGAGCCTCGCGTCACTTCCGCCACCGCAGACCCGCGGCGGAGCTGGGGCGTGGGTCGTGAAGCCCAGACTCAGACTCGGAGACGCCACCACGCCCAGGAGGCGGAGCCAGAACGGGGGAGGCGGGGCTAGAGTGGGGAGGCGGGGCCGGGTGGCTGGAGCCAGGCAGGTTGGGGACCCTGCATGAGCCGAGAGGCGGGATCCCGACTAGGACTAAAAGGCCAGGAGAGGCCAGTTTCGAGGAAGCACGGCGTTATGGGCATGACAGTCTGGGGTTGTGACCTGGGCTCACGGGTTTGTGAGGAACTTGGATCCAAAGGTTACGTTCTTTCGGCTTGGCACCACCTTCCGGGATTCTTCTTCCTATTTTTTTCAGTGTTCGTGATTGCAGAACTCCGCCCTAGGCAACAGCCCAGCCACAATTATTTTACCCTGTTAGACTTCGCTATCCAGGCATTTGGAAACCTGAGAGTTTAGAACAGAAATAACTGTTAAGTGCCTTCTCTAATTCCTGCATTTGTATTTATTAAGCATCCTCATCATGAGATCTACCCGTTTTCTTTGTGACCACATCTATTATTCTGCGTCTCTCCCCTTCCACTTCAGCTATGTTGGATATGCATATAGCTAACTACGTCACCTGCTTCAAGTCTCTGCTTATCATGGCCTTTTGCAAAAATTTGAAATTGCAACCTATCTTCTCAATCTCTTTAACTTGCCTACTATTTTTTCATGGCACTTATCACCTTCCTTCACACCCTACAACTGGCATATTGATGTTTATTTTCTCCTCCCTCTATAACGCAAGCTGAAAACTTCAGCACTCAATTAGTATTTGTTGAATGAAAGAATGCATAGTTACACTAGAGCTTAGCAAAATTTTAGAGAGAAAACCCTTATAAAAATACTGCACAAACTCGAGTGGAATTATTAGCTGGATTGTTTTATTTATATTCATAAATCCCTTAGCTAGTACTTCTCTGCCTTCAATGTACAGGTGAATCACCTGGGCATCTTGTTAAAATTCAGATTCAGATTCAGTAGGTATGATTCAGATTGGGGCTTGAGATGCTACATTTCTAACAAGATACACAAAGAATGCCGATGCCACTGGCTCTAGGACCACACTTTGAATAGGAAAGCTTTAGCTCCATCTAGACCAAGTTTTCCAAGTTTTGGAAAGCTTTAGCTCCATCTAGACCAAGTTTTGTTTGATGACTACAGATGCCCACTATATTAGTACATTCAGGCTGCTATTACAATGTGTCATGGATCGGATGGCTTATGAAAAACAATTTTATTTCTCATGGTTCTAAAGGCTACAAGTCAGATCAGGACTGGTGAGCAGAGGGAGAAGTTGATCTGTGATGCCATTGCAACAAAGTCTTCAATGACCCCTTAGGACTGGGATGGCCTTTTAGAGGTGTCTTGAGTTAGTATGAATGTCTCAGCCTTCAACTGCCAGCATTGAGTAATCATTGGATGCAAACCACTCTTGGAAAGGAATATGATGCTGTCCATATATTTAACTGAGGCATTCTCCAAAGAGTGATAAGAGCTGAAGGTTTCTGCCAACAGCGCTCCCAGTAGCGGGGAGGGCATGGGGCTAAGTCTTCTATTCCTGAAGGGGGAATCTGGGCAGAGCTTCGCAATCAGCGCCCACCACAGTGGACAATCTGTTTGAGGCACTGTGTTAGTCACTTGGTAACTAAAGATATTTATTAATTCATGAAATGTTATTGAGTGCCACTATGTGCCCAGCACTGCTATGCACTAAGATATAGATCTGAGCAAGACAGATTGGCCCCTGCCTTCGTGGAGCTTACTGAGGGATTAAACAAGCATTAATCAAGCTATTACACAAATAACTACCAAAACTGTGGTCATTGTTATCAGAGAGAGCAATGGATTTACAGGAGCATAAAGAGAAACTTAGTCTAAGTGTTAAGGAAATTTTTTCTTAAGACAATTATAATTATGTTATGAGGTGAAGGACAAGGGAGAATTAGCCTCCATAAAACTTAGGGGGTGGGAGGTTACAGGCTAGTAAGAGAGATAGGAGAAATATCAGTATAATATATTGTAAAATTCAATATATAGATCTTATATAGCCACACGGAAGGCAAACGAGCAGTGCTAGTTTCCAATGCCTAATGGCTTGAGAATATCCAAGTATATGTTGGTCCCACTATACCCTCTGGTGAATTTTTAAAACCAAGAAAACCTATGTGAGGGGTGGAGAATTCTAGAGCTAAGTGCCAACTGAAGTGCTTCTCAGGAACAAGAATACAGTTTGTCAGCTACACTCAACACAGCCCAGAGGAAGGAAGTTAACCTGCCAAATGAAATAATTTAAGAAGTTAGAACTATGATTGAATGAGAACAGAGACAGGGTGTGCAGCATAAACTGTACATTTTTGTCTCCTGGCACTGTGCATTTACTTCCCTTTTCTCTAGAGCAAAAATGCCTGCCTGTTTCTCTTCAAAGGAGGAAGATTGAAAAGCTTTTGGCTAAAGCATTTGGTCCTGAATTCTGACTACTCTGTAAGTTATAGCCAATACTACCCTACCCTCTCTACGCATACCGCCACAGTACCCTCTACTTAACTATACTTTTGCCATTAACACTTATTACCATTCACTAATATATAAATACTGGAATTGTGATAAGCATTACCCAAAGAGAACAACTACACTTGGACAAGTGCTGATCATTCTATTAATATTGAATAAGTATTCAATATTTTGCAAAGTCTTCCAGTAGATGACGTCTCAGAGTACTGCCTAAGATATGAGTATATGCCACATGCAAGATGGTGACTGTGATAGACACTTTTCATTAGCTAACTACTAAAAACTTTCTCAATATCTTTCTTCCATGTTGCCTTCCTACTACAGAGCCTGTAAAAGTGTAATACTCACTTTCCCAACCTTCATGGCAGCTAAGTGTAGTCATATGACACAGTTTCAGTCAATAAGACATAAGTGGAAGTCTGTGTGTGTGTGCGTGTGCATGGAACAGATACAACAGGAGAGCTTGCTGTCCTTGACCCTTCTCCAGTCTTCTTGCTTTAAATGTAGAAATATGTCGCCTGGATCTGCAACAGCCATCTTGCAACCAAGAGGCCACATGGTTGATGATGAGAAACCAATAGCTAAATGGAAGAATAGAAAGAAAGCCTGAGGTGTCATTATTAGCACTGAGCGGCTGATACAACCACCTACGTCTGGACTCTTGTTATAGGACAAAAAGTAAAGCCCTATTGATTTAAACCACAGCCAGTTTAATTTTCTGTTAATTGAGCTGAATTTTTTTCTTATTCAATGCCAGGCCAACATAAATACTCTCAGAGAGCTGGAATGTAAACCACAATGGAAAGGTGGATAGCCGAAGGGGAAAGGGGCAAGGCGAAAAGAACAACAAACTCAAGGACAGAAAGTAGAACACTAGAATATTAAGCAGAGAAGATTCCTGTTGAGGGAAGAAGAAGAGGCCCAGGTCTTGGAGTTGCAGCAGCGGCCAGAGGCTTGGTAGCACTATTAGTACCTGGCCAGTGCTCCCTCACTGTGGCCCCTGAAGTCCAGCTCACTGGTCACTGTTTCCTCTTCTGACATTCCCAAACATCTTCACTGGAATCACTTGTCACTAAAGGTAATCTGAGTATCTCTATCCTTGGCAACTAAAAAACCCACCTAACATAACTTCTAGCCATGTGTGGTCAGTCTCATAGAGGACAGCTACCATGTTCTTTTAGAAAATATTTCTCAACATCACCCAAAACACTAATCTAGATAACTGTTGCTGAAAAAGAATCGTGCAAGAATTTTGCAAGGCTTCTTCCTCTCCGAGTGTTTTCTTTTACCACGCCAATGCCCAGTGCCCTCTTGCTGCTTTTTCAGATACTCCGAGACCTCCTACTTTGAGAACCTAGAACTGTCCTGCTTCACAAGGCTTCAGCTTAAGGCTTCTCTCCACTTTAATCTTCGATCAACATTTAGATAAACGGTTCTATAATTTGTAGGCAGATGCGAAAGGAGATGGATCTGGGTTCTTAACCTTTGGGCTGTGAATAAATTTCTCCACAGGGCAGGCAAGACTGGAGTATCCAGCCTTACATTCCAAGAGATGTCTCCATTGCCCTGGGTTTGGGGAAGAGAGGGTTCACTACTCCTTGACATGAAAAAACACACAGCTCTAGGCAAATAAATCTCTCTGGAATTCTCATTAGGTAATGACTCATAAATTCACCTTCAGGTTTGTTCTTTTAGCTTAGATCCCAAATGTCAGTAAAATTTGCTCAGAAAATTTAAATCTATAGAAACTAAAATTTTCTCTACAAGGCCACTGCCTTAATCACCTCACACACTGCTCGATTTATGTTACCTTCTTGGTTCCTATAGGCATTTGAGTTTGAGAGCTCTACCTCACATCATTCTTTCATTAAAATTAACTTTTAAAGACAGCTTGCCACCATACTACCACAATCAATACTTTGATCAAAGAATGTATATGTGCTACTATCCAGATCTCTAAAAGGAGAATTGAAATATATTAAGTTTGTGTGAATGAAGAATTTATAATATGATTTTTTGGACTAGAAATCAAATCAAAATGGAAAGATAATTTCTTACTACTTGCTATAGACTGAATATCTATATCCACCCAAATCCATACATTAAATCGTAACTCCCAATATGATGGAATTCAGAGGTGGAGCCTTTGAGAGGTGATTGGGTCGTGAGGGTGGAGCTCTCATGAATGAGATTAAAACCCTTATAAAAGAGCTCCCAGAGAGCTCCCTTACCCCTTCACCATGTGAGGACGCAGGGAGAACATGGCTGTCTAAGAACCAGGAATCGGGCCCTCACCAGACACTGAACCTGCTGGCACTGTGAGCTTGGACTTTTCAGCCTTCAGAATTGTGAGAAGTAAATTTCTGTTGTTTATAAGTCACTGAGTCAAGGAAGCTCTCTGGGGTCTTTTTGATAAGGGTTTTAATCTCATTCATGAGGGTTCCATTCTCATGACTCAGTCACCTCTCAAAGGCCCCAC